ATTGCAAAAAAAAAATCGGATTCACAAATTATCCCAAATTATGCAGATATCTTTACTAACCTCAACAATCCCCTCAACAAAAGACCCTCGAACTCGATATATGCATAATCTGATTCTACGTACTATTCAACCAACATCAAATTGTCTACAAATCAAATTATCTACAAATCCACAAATTCGCAACATAATATGCATATAACCACAAATTCGCATCATAATATACATATAACTCACCTCTTCACCGAGCTTCACCTCTTCACCGAGTTTCAACCTTTTTTTCGAGCTAAGTGGCAACTTCAAATACGAGTCCTTAATGACTGAGGTAAGTGGCGATCAGAAGGAGATGCTTGAGTTCGGCGGAATAGTCAAAGTTAACCGCTGTGAAGGAGGTTCAACGGATCTAAGGTGGAATCAGATGCTTGAGTTCGAGCAGTTTTTGATGGATTTCCGTTTTCGGGTCAACACGAGAAGACCAGATCGGACCTCGATTCCCCTGCCTCCTGATTGGTCGATTTTTTGTTTTTTTTTAAATGTAAAATCAGTTTATTAAGGTCAATTTCGGAATTCACTCTTTCCTTCAATAAAAGAGTGTTTCAGATCAAAAAGGAGTATAGTAGATAATAGTATTACCAGATGGAGTGTTTCAGACGTTCATCCTAGAACACAGTTTGACTGTGGCTCGAGGTCTCCCGCACTGGATGGAGTCAAGTTTTTGTACAAGAACATGCGAGAAGATGAAAGGAAAGGATGTTGGAGGTGCTTATTGGATGAGATGTTCAAGACCAACTCTCTGTTTTTTCGTTTCATTGGGTTATGCTCTCTGTTTTCTTGAATTTTTATGTGTCACTTTGTTACTTTTTTATTTAATATTTAATAGATTCTTTGATGACAAAAAAAAAAATTAAGAAACTTTTATGATGAAAAAAAAAACATTGCTTTAGGACATCTCCAACCCATCTCTATTTTTTTTTCTAAACTTTATTTTAGAGTAAATTTTACTCTAGTCCACCTCTATTTCTATCTCTAAAATAGAGAGTAGTATTCCTCTATATATAAATACAAAAGTAGGAAATTTCTATTTTTTCTCTATATTATAGCAATTCATCTAAAATAGAGACATATTAGAGAAGAAATAGAAAAATACTATAATTTTTACTATTTTAGAAATAAAAATAGAGATGTACATTAGAGATAATCTTAGTTTTTAGCCTTTTTTATTCAGTTCCAATCGCAAAAACTATATTTTGAGTGTTATAAATTAAAATTTGACAAAATTAAACCACAAGTATTATTCTTTTCCACCTTCAATTATTTTATGAAACTAAAAACTTGGAAATTGGACATCAATTCAAACACCACAAGTAAACCACATAATGTTAAGAAGTTTAAACGTCACCACACAAAAATAATAATAATTTAAAAGCATAAAAAACATAGTCCAGGAAATCCGAAGTTCAGAAAACAAAAAAACCACAAAAGGCCCAACTCCAAAAAAAAACAAAAACCATCCGAGAAACCAAAAAAACCGACCCGACTTCACCAAAGCTAGAAGAAGAAGCAATCCAATTCATCAACGATCTCCATAACCAGAGCTCTGATCAACAATGGATGCGACTGCGTCCTTCGACTCCTTCAAGAGCTTGATACTAGTCTTAAGCTTCTCTCTCTTGCTCGCCACCGCCGGAGACTCCTCCAGCATCCTCTCGACTCCTCCGCCTCCTCTGGGATCCACCATTTCCGCAACGATCTCCTTCTGAAACTGAGTGTTGACGAGATACTTGACAGATAGCTGAAGATACAGCGCGAGGTTATCCACAATTCTTCGCAGGACGATGGTCCAGTACGATGTCATTCTCATCTTCATGTCAAAAGCTTGTTGCAGTAGATGAACATGATACTTTCTCAGATGCGAAATCTTCACATTCCCGAATCCAGGCACAGAGAAAATCTCAGGTCTCTTCACATCGTTCAAAACGGCATGGATGAAGCTCCCTTGTGCACCTGTCTTCTCCGTCCAAGACGTCATGTACTCAGGGTTACATGTGTAATCGGTAAGCTTCTCCATCTCAACGATCTCAATCACTCGATTCACAGATGTTTCCTTTATCTTGCACATCAGATTTCGACCGGCCCTTTTGATGGAAGATTGGATCTGTGGGAAGTTTTCAGAGTATTTGGTGATGACTTGGGAGAGAACAACTTCGACATAGTCCCATATCTTCTTGATGAATTCGACCGGCTTGACATGTATATCATCCACATGTTGCGAGAGAATGGCCAAGAAGGCTGATCTCGGGATGAAGTTGGGCAGTCCAACACACTTGCATTCGTCCAGAACTTTGATCTCATTCATCAAGAACTCGGTAACATCCTCGGGCTTTGCTTGCAGATTATCTGAGAACTGGCTTAACATATCAGCCAAACGAGCAGTACAATGCATTTTTGCATCGTCTGGGAACTCTGAGAAATCTCCTTGGATGAGAATTCGTAAGAGAGACTCTTTTGCAGAACCAATGGTATCCATCAATGCTTCTCCAGTAGAAGCCATTACCATTGGCAGCTTGTTCAGATCCAAGACAGCAGACTCCATTTTCTGGTTGATCTTGCGTACAATTTCAGGCAAACAGCGGGCAATCATCGTTGCCTGGATACGCATTAGCTTCTGAGCTAAGACAGGGATACCCACAATGTCGTCATCAATCAAGCATAGCATTGGATGAGTCCTGAAAAGTAACTCCTCTTGCATCCTTGCTTCTTCATAGGTTTCTTCTCCTATGCGGTTTCTGACGCAGACATAACCAAGTCCGATACTCACATCATCTGCAGTTACCTTCTGCAGGAGACCTTCAGGAGCCATGTCAGCCTTTGTGACAACAGCCAGAGTCCGTTCACCGGTTTTGTCAACTTGTCTGGACATCCGAATGGATTCACAGGTGGTGAAGTCAACCGTAGCTGACAGAACGTTCAGGATGATGGACTCTTGAGGCTCGATGTATTTCATAATCATGCCCGATATCTGCTCATAAATGTTTTCAGGCTGTCCGTTCACTGGAACTCGAGTTATTCCGGGAAGATCAACCATGGTAAGATCTGGAACACCAGCTTTCTTAACATGGAGGGTCAAGGGAGCATCTGAAACCCCTTTACCAGATCCTGCAACACAGGTATTTCATAGTCAAATCTGGTTAGTCTCAAACATAACACTCTGAAGTTTCATCATATAGCAAAACCAGTGTAAATAGCATTACAAATATCAGATGAGTAAAGACCAAACTACGAGTTCCAAAATCGTATTACACATTTAGTCAGGGACTTCTTTGGTAAAGTATATAACTCAATCCATGTTTTGGATAAAGCCATAAAGGTATCATTCTCAATCATCTCTCTTGCAGGTATGAAAAAATATCAGATTAGGAAAGACCTAACTAGGAGTTCCAGAATCAAATAACATCTCTAGAACTTGTATTCATGGCATATCGTAAATATCTTTACTAGATCCATGTCTCAGATAAAGATCTCATTAACAGCAATCTCTCTTGCAGGTTTTCTCCAAAACACACGTAAGTCACTAAATGGTAGAGAGAATGAGAGACAGAACATACCAGCGATTTCATCAGTTGCAGCACATATCGCTTCAGCTATGTGTTCCTCGTGAGTAGGAACGACCTTGTCACTGTACTCCAACCAGAGCTCAGGTTCAGGGTTAGGGCTTCGTTGAAGCCGCATCACCAGAGTAACCCGAGTGCAGATTCCTTGCCCACGAGGCAAACTGATTCCTGCCAAAGACTCGAGAACACTTGACTTCCCCGAGGACTGGTCTCCAACAACTACAATGGTGGGAAGCTGAATCCCTTCTTTCATCACATTAAGGTTCCTTAGCCTGTCGACAGTGTCCAGCAACGGCCTGATCCGATCATTGTAGGAAGACACAATAGGTGCTTCCATGGGAACAACTTGTTGATTTGTTTCGACAATAGCGAGAGAAGGGGAATATCTAGTGACAACATGCTTCCTACTACCTCCCATTTTCTTCTT